TGAGTGGTGAAGAAACCTGTTTCCGAACTTTTCTTACAGAGACCAAAGATAATTCATCGGCGTGCATGCTGGTCCTAAGAAACTGAGTGAGAGACCACAATCGTTTATGTCCGGATATGTCTGTCTACCTTTCTTTCAAGGAACTACTGTTAGATTTTGATCGTTTTAGTTGCCATGGAGGTAAGCAACCCCTGAGAGGTGATTGTAGGAATAACGATGATGTCGAAAGCTGTCTTTGTCTCATGGAGATGGAGGACAAACAGCTGAATGAGCTCGTAAGACTTTTCTTTTCGTTTTCTTCCTCGGGGCTTTGGCCGTTCGGATCATGGCAAACCGCTGTGATCCTGAGGGACTCGGGAAGTATGCAGCTGCATACAGAACCTGCAGAAACCAACTTTTGTATTCAGAAAATTATGAAAGAATTCTTCTACAATTTTCAAATGCAGCAGAGACCTCAGTTACCTATTTGTGCAAGCCGATTAACCCATTTTGGGATCTTTTTGCCAGTGAGCTTGTAGCAAACGTCCTGACAGAAATGGTTGCAGTTCTTAACAATCAAGTGATACATATTCCCGTAGTAACTGCAAGCCATGTCCTCCATAAACTCCCTCACTTGTGTTGCATTTAAAGTCGTGGTTCCAATGAATATTGATTTCTTGAATTTGAAGCCCGGGCATTCCCGTGGTTCAACCTCAAAAACACCACTCGTTGCATAATCGTGGGCACCAAATGCATATTCTACTCCATGAACTGTGCATTCACCACGGAATTTTCAGAGTTAGGTAATATAAGATGTGATGCATAACAGAGGAAAACTTTGTTTGATACTTAGACCATATCGACAAGAAAATGCAAGCCCTAAACCTTACCTTCTACACCAGAGTGAAATATACCAAGGCCTGCCCAATAGATATATCCATTAATAGGAGTCAAATCATAAACATTGAGATAGACTGGTGTACGGCCTGGACCATGGTTGCCTGACTTTAGTTTTGAAAAGAAGCAAAACCGTGCTACTGATTTGCTTTTCAGATGAAGAGGTGCAAGAGATTTCCAACGTTTCTTTGACACAAGTTTCATCTTCTCCCCAAACCTAGACTGAAATTCTCGTAGTGACTCTGGCCAACCTGCTCATTCAGAAATTTGTTGTTCAAGTATTAGACTTGCTATGAAAACTGAACCACAAGATGCGCAAATAGCAAGATGAGATCG